CCACCTCACCCCTGCATTCCTTTCAGGCTGTGGCCCGCTTTCCCCAGTTCCTTCAAGCACCAGACCCCTGAGCCTATTCTCTCCAACCTCCCACACTGACACATGCTGGTCTCCAGAAAGATTCCTACCAGATGGAAGTTGAGATGGAAATGATCGATACCTTTTCTAAGCATCAGCCCTTCCGTGGTACTTGTACACAAAAATGGTTTTAGGGGAGACACCAGGCATCGGCCTGGCTCGGAGACGTATTCTCTGGACCAGGGATATCACTTGGCCCCAGGAGACCTCCTGCCTTGATGGTTGAAGCCCCGGTCACCTTCTCACCATCAATGTCCACCCACCAGACTTGCTCAAAGCACAGGCAAGCCACTCCCTTCGTTGCCCAAACACCTTCTGAGCCCCTCTTCTGTAGCTGGCCCAAAATAGCTACCAGGTGAACAAGATACGGCCCCTGCCCTCAAGGGGCTCAAGGCGTAGTAACATCATTTCAGATGCACAGGCACGAACAAGGGAAATGTGGGACTGGAGGTGTGGTGAGAGGGCATATTAGAGGCCTGCACGGTCCAATATGGCAGTCACCAGCCACATGTGGCTACTGAGCAGATGACACTCAGCCAGTCCGAGTTGAGACGTGCTGTGTCAAATATACATCAAACTTCAAAGACAGTACAAAAACAGGAACATAAATATCTTATTTTTTTTTAATCTTTAAGTAGGCTCCACATCCCACGTGGGACTTGAACTCATGACCCTGAGATCAAGCGTCACATGCTCTACTGACTGAGCCAGCCAGGTGCCCCAAGAACATAAAATATCCTAATAATTTTACATTGACTACATGTAGAAATAATCACACTTTGGATGTATCGGGTTAAATAAAATATGTTATTAAAATGAACCTCGCCTGTTTTAACTTTTCAAAATGTGGCTACTAGAAAATTTCAAATTATATATGTGAGTCACGTTTATTCCTGGTAGGCAACACCATTCTGGGAGGACATTTAACCTGAGCTTGGGGAGAAAAAAGAATCAGGGAGAGCTTCCCAAAAGAGGTTTCATCTGAGCTAATTAAAAAAAAAAAACAAAACGACATTGATTAAATAGCTTGCCATGTGCCCAGAACTTTCCATATACTCTTTTTTAAAGATTTTATTTATCTATTTGAGAGAGATAGAGAGAACATGAGCAGGGGGAGGGGCAGAGGGAGAGGGAGAAGCAGACTTCCCGCCCAGCAGGGAGATCAAAGCAGAACTTGATCCCAGGACCCTGAGTTCACGACCTGAGTTGGAGTCAAAGGCTTAACTGACTGAGCCACCCAGGTGCCCCTTTTCACAATCTTTCTAATTTAATCTTTGATAACTGAACTGTTGTTATTTTGTTCCTTTTTAATTTTTTTTTTAAAGATTTATTTATTGGGGGGGCAGGAGAGGGAGAGAGAAACTTAAGCAGACCCCACACTAAGCGCAGAGCCTTGCATGGGGCTGGACCCAGGGCCCAGTCTCACGCCCCTGAGATCATGACCTGAGCCGAAACCAAGAGCCGGACACTTAACAGACTGCACCACCCAGACACCCCTTTGTTCCTTCTTTATAAACGAGGTCTCCAGTGCTAGAAAACTTCAACTGTTTGCTGTGATTTCATAGTAATTAGTGGTGAAGATGGGGTGGAAAGCCTGCTCCCCACCAGATCCGCAGGCCAACTTCACCATCGGGAAGGGGGGGCTAAGGGGGGCAGGAGACAATGCCCACCCCCACCCAGGTCTCTCCTACAGAGAATCTGAGAACAAGCCAAGGCTTAGTTTCAGCCCTATGCATCCGACAAGGTTCAAATCCAATTGGCTGAGAAGCTACTTGAGTTGTGTAATTTACAGAAAAATCAAATTATGTATAAGCCTCTTATAATTGAGGGTAATTTAGGAAATAACTTTCTGAAAATGGCAGATTTTACAGCTGTGTTACCATTTGGAAATTGCTGAGGTCATTTTGTCACTCGGATGCCCTTCTCTGGCTGAAAGAAGCCAGGTTATAGTCACACAGACTGACATAGAAAAATCCCATTAGGGCACTGAGCTCATTACATAGATTTGAATATACTGGGTCAAACCAAGCTTCCTGAAACAGAGCAACTGCCTATAAAGATGGGCTGAATGAAATGTGGATGAAGTCACGTGCTTGATGGCATCATCACATTTCCATCACACAGAGAGGGGGTCTTACTAAACAATTATTACTGAAGCACTTCGCTAGGGGCTGGGGGTATGACAAACAATAAAGGAGAGTTTTAAACTCAATGGCTCTGTGTCATGTTCCAGGCTATGGGTTGAGTGTACAGGTACACACACACACATACACACACACACACACACATACACACACAGGCACCCATGGCCTTATCGATCAGCATGTCCAGCTTTTTAATAACAGAGTCAACCAGACACATAACATAAATCAAAATTTTTAGGAAGTGCTCACGATGAATAGCTAGTAGCTTCCAAGCAAGAGGAAATCATTCTATCTTATTATTATTCAACAAAATTCCAAGTGTGCACCTGCAAAGTGTCTGAGCCCGTAGTACAGGGGCCCAACGTGGCCCAGACCCTCTAAGAGAAGTCCCAGGTCACGTAACTCAACTCAGACCATTGTTGGCTACTAATTAACACGATTAATACCAATTCTTCCTCGGTACAATCTCAGGTGCTTTTTATACAGGATTTCAAAACTCACAAAACTCCAAGACTGCATTGTGTTCCTATTTTACAGTTAAAGGAACCAATGCTTGGGAGGTCAAGTCATCAACCCAAGTCATACACCTGGGCTGGGATCCCCCAGTTCCTTCAGGCATCCAGTTCTCTCCTCTGACCCAAATCGTGTCTGACTCTAGAGTCCCCATCTGTCCTGGCTCGATTGGAAATCTGACCAGGGTGCCTTCCCTGGTTCAAAAATAACAGAGGCACTGGCCATGGTGAAAAAGGCGGCCCACTGTCCCTGGGTTTTGCAATGGGCTTGCTCATCTATTGTAATTTGCAGCTAATAATGAAGCATTCTCCCAAGCGCTGTGTGTAAGATCAAGTTCATGTACTAGTTCATCTTTGCCAGCCAGCTGCCTTTCTGCTAGGCTGACAGTAAGTAATATCTTTGCATGAGGAGCCAGTCCACAACTAAATCAATTAATCCCTCTTTGGCTGGTAGACAGCTGTTGGGTCAAAACAAGATAATTAGATGGACGCGTCATTTACCAGGTGGTCGGTAATGAAGGGATTAATTGCCCAGAGTTGGAGGCTCTGCAATGTCTGTTCTTCCTTGCCTTCTCCAGGGTGTCAGCCATCAGCAGCAGTCTTCCCAAACCAAAATTCAGAAGGCCGGGAGCCTCTTCTCCTTTCGCACTTATCCGAAAGACTGGAGCTGCTGCTTCTGAAGTGCCCATCTGATGCGTGGCATGGGGCAGGTCTGGGTTCTCCTGCTTACGGGGTCCAGAGCCGCATGGCTCAAGTGTCCCCGACGCAGGGCCCCTCCCAAAGCCCTGCCTGGGGGCTCCGTCTCTCGGGTCCGACCACACGGCCCCGGCAGAGTCTCCCACGCTGGGGACCTCGACTCGCAAACCCGCCAGTGGAACACGAGAGAGGCTGAGTGCTCAAAACTGCCCCAGGGCCTTCATAAGAAACAACAGGGAGCAGCCTCGGTGCCTACGCTTTGAGGGGCTTTTGAGAATCAAAGAGTTTTGAACTGGAGGGACCCCTATGGATCCAGTGCTTCTGAACTCGGCTGCCGCTCAGAATCACCGGGCAGTTCTGAAGAACACGGATGCCTCCGCCCCTAACCCAGACCCACCAACAAAAGCAGAATCTCTGGGTGAGGCCTGGGCACTGGCCACTGTGTCAAAGCTCCCTGAGTGGTCCTCATGGGCAGCCAGGGATGAGAACGCCAGGTCTCGGTCATTTTGTCGAAGAGGCCGCCGTGGCAAGGAGGGGACAGGCTCTGCCTTAGAGAAGCCCCACAGTTAACAAGCAGCTTGACTTGGAAGCAGCCCTGACTCATGAGCTGTACGCTCTCCCCTCTGGGCTCCTTGGGACCACCGATCCCACCTGTGAGTAAAGACTACACCCTCCGCGAGGGTGGACGAGCCTGGTCCAGCAGGCACCACCCTGCCCTTCCTGCCTTCTCTCCAACCAGCTCCCTGCAGGCTCCTCACTCCGGCCACAAAGCCCTCACCATTCTCTGACTGTGCCATGGGCTATCCCCCCTGGTGCCCACACTCCTGCTATTCCTCCCCTCCCTGATGCTGTTCCCTCTTCTCTGTCAGGGGAAGCCTGATGGGTCTTCAAAGGCCTAACTCAAATGCCACCCCCTCTACAAAGCCTCCCCCTCGCCCTGTACCTTAAAGGGCTGATTACTTACTCCTGATTCTCCCATAACTGAAAGGCTTCTATTGTGCACCATTTATCATGTCCTACGACCTACCTGCCTCTCCTCCCCACATCTTTTCCCTCTGCTTAGCCTATAAATGTGTGCAGAAGAAACAAAGTTCGGCAAGCATTGCTAAGAAAGCTATTTAGGTTGTGCCAGAAGAGCCCCCACCCCAACCCCTTTGGCCAAGTCAAGCTTTTATCAATCTAAACTTAATCAAAGACCCCGACTTCCCAATTTCACCAAAGTAAGCTATCCCACAGGCAGAGTTCTTCAGGGGGATTCCTGCTCAGCCTGGCCATGGCCAAGAGACAAAGGTCTCGCCAAATATCAGGTTCAGGAAGCAGAAAGCAAAACTTCAGTTGTTTATTGGACATCCACTGGACATTCCACATCACTCCACAAGCCCTGGCCCCTGACTTCAGGAATTTTACAACAGTCCTCAGCACATCCGTCTCAGCTTGAGTCACTAGGGAAGAGAACCTCAAGGAAGCATTTTTTTTCCACCTGGAAAAGACAAAGTGATAGGCTCTCATTCTCCTGCAATCTTACCAGGTCAGATGGGCCTGGCGCTACCATTTCAGAGAGCTACGTGACCTTGGCAAATTGCTCAGTTCACTGAGCCTCCATTAACTTATCTGAAGAATGGGGTTCAACCTTCCTTTTGGGGTTGTTGTGAAGATTCAATGAGATACGTGTAGAAAAGCCTTGAACAATGTGGTCTAGTAGAGTGAAAGTAGATTACACTTTCAGTGAAGAGTAACTTTCCTTCCTTTCTCCCTCTTTTGATCCTTCCTCCTTGAGCCTACCTTACGGAGAGGTAAATCTACTGTAGCATATGAAGACTGGACCGTTAAGGGGCCGCCAAATAACATATTTTTTCCCTCAAAAAAACATTTTTTTTTTTTTTTTTGGCCTCAAAACAGTTCACTCGGAATACCACTAGATCCCTCAAACACAGCCTGGCCTTCCCAGACCCTTAGGAATGCCCGTCAACAGTTGGACCTAGTGCACTCCTGCAAGCCTTCTAGATAGACTCTGTGTTTATGAATTCCTGGTCAGCCCCTGGGCCGTGCATCTATCTTCTTGGAACGTGGTAATCACAGAGCAAGGAGAAATGCTAAAGAAAGCAGCAGGCAGGGCAGGGCTGAACCACATGAGTGATGCTGTGAAGATTTCAGGGAACCCATGCGAGGACCAGGAGGTGGGCGAGGCCAAAGGACAAGCTGTCTCGCTCCTGCTGGCACTCTGGGGGCAATTATGCCCTATTAATGGCTGACGACGGAGCTCTGCCCCGCGAGTCTGAGCTGCAACAGGGCGGCCCACAGATGCGCTCGGGCCACAAATATGCAGTTGGCAACTCCTGAACTTTCGGTGACTTGACACCAGCTGATCTGATCAGCAATTACATTTTATTTTGGGGCCAGGGAGACAGCAGAGAACCAGGAAAATTATAAGACACCAGAGTACAGTTTTTCTAAGAATATCAACCATAAACTTTTTTTTAACCAATTGTTGTTTTAGTGGTTAGGGGATTTGTGAGGCCCTGAAATAAGAAAACCTTGGATACAAAAATCAGATTATAGCCAATTTTCCCCAAAGGAGATTTTAAGCCTTTGCCCAATAAAAATCTGGGTGTGATTCTGTTGTTGTTTTGGAGGGGAGACAGGGTAATTCATGCCAAGAGAACTTTGCTGGTGACAGTGAGCACAGCATAGAGATAAATGGATTTGTAGTCTGTCCTGGGTTTGAATCCTTACTCAGCTTCTTATTAGCTGTGTGGCCCTAGGCAAGCTGTGTAACTTTCTTGGCCTCAGCTCTCCCATTCGTGAAATGGGAGTGGCAGACCTGGTTTGGGGCTTCTTCTAAGCGTTCCATGAGGGGTTTAGAAGCATCTAGATAACAGCTGGTCTAGAGCACCAGTACATGGTAACTAAGATGGTGCCTTCTTGCTCTAACCTTGGTTTCTTATCTACAATAAATAGTTCATGTTTTCACCATCATATATCAAACCCAAATAACCAGTCAGCATAAGACGGGGAAATGGCATCTCTAGGAGCAGTTTGGTTTCTAGCAATTTACAGGGTTTGTCATCTGCCTCTGTGATAACACCAGTCCAGGCTTAGCGGCTTCAACAGCCTTGGCTGGTAGGGAAACACGACAAACCACCACCATGCCCAATCAGGTGCAAAGTCTGTAAATGTCTTGTGGACACAAAACTTAACTCAACAGGGGTGCTTGCTCCCTTCTCTCCTCTAAATGCCCAGGCCACAGCAGCCCAAATGATCACCACGACAGTGTCTCTGAGAAGGACCACTGGCCATATTTGCGTGGGAATGGAACGTAATTGCAGCTTGTAAAGGAAACCAGCCTAAGAAAAAAACATCCCGGGCAACATCCCGAGGAAACAGGGAGATCTTCCTGCGGGGATGTTTTCCTGGTTGCCAGAGAAGGAGGCCGGACAGCTTGCCCACGACATTCTTGATGGAGGTGACTCACCCACCTACACCCTCACAAATGGCTCCCAGAGCTGCCTCTCCAGCCCCATCTTCCCTCCCAGGTCCTAGGCTGCTGCTAAATGAGCTTCTCACCCAGAAAACAAAACACCACCAGAAGGAAGAGATGACCTCTACCCACGTAGGTTGGACCAAGCTTTCCAGTCAACTCGCTCACGTCAGCCCTGGGATACCAAGAGGAACCAGACATGGAAGGCTAACCCACATGCCCAGCTCACTCTCTGGTGCCCAGCGCCTGGCACGTGTAATACTGAAGAAATGGATGAGTGAACGAGTGAATGAATCCAGGAATGAACAAACTCCATAGGAGGCACCGAGCAAAGTACTGTTACAAATGAGGGAAGGCAGTCTCAGAGGGGTGAAGTATCTTGCCCACACTCACGTAGCCTGGAAATGAAGAAACCAGGCTTGGAACCCACGTCTGACTCGGAAGTCAAGGCTTCCAATATGGAAACCCCCCGCATGACCATGATAATGACAAATGTTTACATAGTCCCTGACACATCAGAGTGATTTTATCCTCCCAACATTCCAGAGACACGGACTCATCACGTATTCAAGTTGCACAACCAGTCGGAGGTGAGGTAGGGGTGTGAACCTAGACTTTCATTCTTTCAATCACAGATATTTGGGGGCACCGTCTATAGACCAGGCCCTGTGTTAGGGGTTGGGGATACAACAGTAAACAGCACAGACACAGTCCATGGACTTCCTGTCCAGAGGGGTGTCTACTTCAGAAATAAGCTCCTCCCATGACGCTGTATGCTGCCCACAGAATTTCCCCAGGAAAAAGTAGTGTTTCAGCAGCTGTACTTTGAAAGGGAAAATTATCTGAGAACAGAGCATGTCAACAAAAAAATAGGAATGGCTTGCATCTCAGTAGCCTGTGCTGTTCTCAACACGGCTTACCAGAAACCCTATCCTTTGTCGAGGCTAGTTCTACCCCTTCCTAAGGACGGGTATGCAAACATGCTAGGAGACTTGCCTATAATAATCAGATTAATTGGGCACCAAACAAAACCCAAATATCACATTCCCTGCTGAGTCACCAGGGAACACAACAGGAAGCCTCAGGCAATGTGAGTTTGCAATTACCTGGCTAATCAGGCCTTGCCACACTAGAACTCCAAAGCAGTGGGGCTGACAAGGGAGTGAATTCACCTGGTTAGGCCACCCATGATGCACAAACTCAGGAGTCCATTTTTGCAGAAGGGAGTGCAGGTGAGAGACAGGGAATATCTGTGGGATCAGAAAGTTCCCTTTGCAAGACTTCAGGGAATGTCGCATTACCATGCATCACCTTCCTCTACCCAGCACCTTAGTACACAGAAATACTAAATTAAGAATTTGATACAAAGTAAAGCTCAGAGACTAAGGCCAAAGAAATACATTTTTTTCTTTTCTCAACAGCATTCAAAGGTCAGACAATGGGCCACTAGTTGCTCACTTGCCAGTTCCTGGCATCAAGCGCTAATTAATGTTCCCACAGGAGAACCAGCCTTAGAGTCTCCACATCAAGACCCACACACACCACTGAGGCCATCGCCATGGTGACCAGGCCTCTTCCCTTGGCTCCTAGCTTTCGACAAGAACACATTTCCTTGGTTGGAGCTTATTTCGCTCCAAGAGAAACTCTTCATAATTGAGCCCAATTTACCATGACAGTCACTTAACAAAAAGCACCGCCCCGCCGCCGTCCAAGAATTGAGTCTTGGTAACGGGCACAGTGAGGTGGAATCCTTGGGGCATCTTGGACTTGAATGAACCAACGTGCGAGCAGGGTGGCCGGTTCACCCACAGGTGAACCTTCTTTCGGGGTGCTTAGGGGGACACTGCCCAGCCGGCTCTATAATTTCAGAGCCCCATTGCTGGCACCTGTGACTATGTGGATCTCAAACCCGAGCAGGTCAGAAAGCTTAGTCCAGCACTACACCAAAGCATTTCTCGAATTCTAAATCCTGCTCGCTAGAATTTCGGAGCCATTACACAGACAAAGGGTGACCGAGGAAGTCATCACTGAAGGTAAAATGCCAGGCAGTGCAAGGAAGTTTCAAATCCCCCAAGAACCAGATTTTGGAGTCTTTCATTCCCCCTCCCCCAAAAAATTGATGCACGGAGACCAAGCCGAGAAAGCAAGGAAGTTTCCAGGGCTTACCTGGGTTGGGCTGTAGAGTTCCTGCAGGGGGCTTCGAGACCCCTTCCGGCAGCAGATGTCCACACCGAAGGGGTTCCTCCGCATGACTGAGGAGAGAAAGTGAAGGCTCATCAGAAATGAGCAACAAAGCCTTGTTGTCCGACAAAGAAAAAGGCACAGAGGTAGGTGGGGGAAGAAGAAACAGGAAAGGAAGGGAGATAAAACCACTTCTAGCAAAGCGGCTGTTCCTTTACCCAACGGCACGTCTTCTCCAGCATTCAGGTATCTCCACACTCAGAAGGACATAAATAATCTTAAACATTCTTCCCAGCAAGTTTTTAAGAAAACAAGACAGGCATCTAAAACTCACTGAAATGAAGCTACTTACAAAAGTCAGCGTAAAGGTTCTTCCGAGAGAGTGAGTTCTACCAGCACCAGGCTTGGTGATGTACTTCAAATCCCACAGCCTCCTTGAGGCCTCAGTGATCAATCACAATCTCTTATTCCTGCCTTCCCTGCCATCTCCCCGGCACCTGGTTCTGGTCTCCTGAGCACCCATGCAGGGCCTCCCCCTGGAGGGCTCTTCCACTGGCTAAGTCGGACACCTGGTCACCCCAAAGCCTCTTGTAAATTAGGTTACTTTTAATGAAAATGTCAGGTCAAGGCCGAAAGGACAAGGGCTATGGTTCTAAACAGACAGAGGTGGCACTTACAAGTAATAAGAGAGGGGAAAGGGGCGCCTGAGTGGCTCAGTCGGTTAAGCGTCTGACTTTTGATCTCAGCTCAGGTCTTGATCTCGGGGTCGTGAGTTCAAGCCCCACACTGGGCTCCACGCTGGACACGGAGCCCACATAAAAAAATTTTAAAAAATAAAAGAGGGAGAATAAAGGGAACTTCTCAAAAGCCAGTGGCGTTGGGGACACTCAGCACTACTTTTTTAAAGGTTTTAAGTACTCTCTACACCCAACATGAGGTTCAAACTCACAACCCCAAGATCAAGAGTCACGTGCTCCACCAACTGAGCCAGGCAGGCTCTCTCCCCACCACCCCTCGAACTATTTTTAAGTGGAAAAGAGTTTTTCTTTTTTTTCATTCTTCTTGTTCACAAAACACCCTCCTTCTGGGCAGTCCCTCCCAGAGCCTAACACACCGTCACCTGTTGATAATTATTTGAAGGGCGGGCGGCGTGGAGGAGGGAGGAGCAAATGAATGAGCGAACAAGCGTTTTCATCCACAGGAGGCGATTTTCTTGTGGAATGACTTGGCAGGGGCATGGGCGGGACAAGGAAAGCAGGTCCATCCGCAAGCCTGAAGAATTCGCCTTTATGTAGCAGCCGCGGAGTGGACCCATGATGTTCCCTGGGTTTGCATTCCGGCTCTACCACATTCCCGCTGTGTGATCTTTGGCAAGGCACCTAACCTTGCTGTGCCTGTGTTTCTTCAGCTGTAAGATGCGGTTGGCTGCGAGGATTCAACGAGTTACTCCTATCTGCAGAATGCTTAAACCGGGGTGCTGGCCAGAAGGCGTTTCTTACAAATTTCTGAAGGGCATCAAACCGTATGCTGAATTTACACAGAACGATTCCTGACCAAAACCCGCCTACCCCCGAGGTGGGGGGAGGTGAGAACTTCTCTACTCTGAGCCATCCAGCGAGCTGATGGGAAGTCAGCAGACCTCAAAAGCTTCCCTGACCCGAGAGCCACAGAAGGCTGGGAGGGGGGGCCCAAGGGGGACACACCCAGGCCCCTCCCTCCGCTTAGAAGCCAGCCAGAGGTCCGAAATGTGAGAAAAGCCATCTCCGCAAGGAGTCAATTCCTTCTGGACGTTCTCCAGGTGAATTGACCCTTTCTCAGGCAGTTCTCCTTTGACCTGTCCCTTGGAGCCACGTGGAAACCCTCAGAGTAAATCATCGCTTCCAGGAAGCTGGAAGCTGCGTTTTCTGTCCCCTTCTCTGTTGCCTCAGAGAGCGGCGTCATTGCGCTTTTGCTGTGAAGGGCAGGTGGCGCTTCGGCCCTGTGCCCTCGGGGTCTGGGGCACCGAGTTGGCAGCCACGGATGATCCAGAACCCAATGGGTGTGGCCTCCTGCCAACGCCGCTCCATTCATGGACGCAGAAAGCGAATTCCGTGTCATTTTCACGTGTCGGGAAATAAGTCTTCTTTTGATGGTTTTTTTCCAACCGTGTCACAGAAACAGGCGCGGAGCCAGATCGGGCCCACAGGCTGTCATTTGCTGACCCCCGCCCTGGAGAACGGTCCCCGGGATTCCTGGGGTCAGCGGAACAAGCCCCAAACACACACTGCGTGCCCCATGGCCCTCTCCGGGGAGGCGACCTGCGGGCAAATGTCCATCCATAAAAGCTGTTTGAATTTGATTACGCTGTGCGGGGAGGGGGGGAACACTGCCTCTTTGTTCCTCCACGACTGCCTCAAGAAGAAGGGGGAAAAATCCATGTTGTGTTTTTCTTTAATTTATTGCTTCATTTTTCATTTCCACCAAAAACGAGGTAAACTGTTAAATGCACGCCACTTGCCCTCAGTGCACAATGACATAGCAACACTTTGGAGGAGAAAAAACAGCCATAAAACTTGTAAAAATTATGCTCATGCCGTGCAAGATTAAACTCTCCCCGTGGCGGCAGACAGGCTCCCGGGGCCGGTGGCTGCAGGACCTGCCACGGTGAAAACCCTACCGTGGAGTCCATTAAAAGTCAGCTTTTATGGGGGGCAGTATTATTTAATTGGTTTATTTTTCGAATACAAGGCCTTTAAAATGCTTTGACCGTGTGGGGCCTGCAACGCGGGCCCTTTCCCAAGGCCGCCCGCCCTCCGTGCCTCCTCCCGCCCTGGCCATGCGCGCTCCGTTGGGCGCCACGTGAACCAGCCTCAGCACCCCAGGCCACAAAAGCCAAAGGGGCCTTGTGCGCTGTTTATGAGAATGACAACAATCTTACTATTTATCGAGCGCTCATTGTGTGCCAGGCACTTGGGTAAGTGTAATCCTTCCCACGGTGAAGGAAGGACCTGCATTTTATAGGTCTGAGCCTCCCTTAACTTCAGAGACTGGACCAAGGTCAAGACCACGGGAGTGGAAAGTAACCACATGAAGACTCAGACCTGACTGCTGTAGGTGCTTCACATCCAAACAAGGATAGTGAGGACCTACCGCGTGCCTTTGAGCCAAAGGATGGGCTGGCAATTATGCACGTAAGTACTAAGTACGTTGGTCCCGTGTGCGTCTTCAGAAAAGTGGCATCAGAGAAGGTTGAGTGACTGACACACACACAGATGGCGGGCAGAGTTTAGAGTGCTCATGGTGCGCCCAGCAGCTCACGTATTCCATCTGCACAGCAGCCGTATGGGGTGGGTACCATCACTGTCCCCACTTTTTTTTTTTTAAGATTTTATTTATTTGACAGAGAGAGGCACAGCGAGAGAGGGAACACAAGCAGGGGGAGTGGGAGAGGGAGAAGCAGGCTCCTGATGCGGGGCTCGATCCCAGGACCCTGGGATCATGACCTGAGCCGAAGGCAGACACTTAACGACTGAGCCACCCAGGCGCCCACCACTGTCCCCACTTTATGGAGAGGAATACTGAAGCACAGCAGGGGTAGGTAACTTGCCCGGGTCTCATGACTAAGAGGTGAAGCATGGACTCCAACACAGGCAGCCCGTGCTCTCAGCCGCCATGCTGGGCCAAGGGTCAGGTGCCAAGTCCACCACGCATCTTTCTAGTTGGGCCCCAGACTGGGTTGGCTGGCCACCTCTAGGACAGAAGATCTAAAATGAACTCCAGTGCCCTAGGAGTCACTAAAGTGATGTGACAGCCAGACTAATAACTAAGTTATCGCACTGCATTCATTCAACGAACTTTCTCAAGCACCCACGGTATGCCGGGCATGGGCATGGGGGTACAGACCCTCCCCATCTTATTCACATTTTCCCCTGGTGCTTGGCACAAGTCGGTACTCAAGAAAGCCTGTGAATGAGCTAGGATTTCAGGGTTCCTGCACAAGCGTTGGACAAGCTGTTTTCTACTATATAAGGAAGAAACTGCCCGTAGCATCCAACAGCTGTTCTTTTTTTTTTTTTCTTCCTTTGAAAAATAAAAGGTCTGGTGATCAAAAGCCCTAAGAAAGGAATCCCTGAGGACATTTAACAGTGGCCTTCTGCCACCCACCCGCCACCACGAGTTTTATTTAGCTGCAACACTTGCTTTTTTTTTTCTTTTTCCTTTCTAAACCCCAGTCAACGAAACTCAAGACCGTTTGGTAAGAATTGAATTGGCTCAACTTACAGCACGATTTCTTGGATCCAGGCACATTTCTGCATATTCCAAGGTACATGAATGAAACCAGCCCCTGTGTTTGTTTTATGATGACAAAGAGCACATTGTCCTTAAGTGGGTCCTCTGCTCACAGTCAACGGACAGCAGGGGACACAAAGTGGGCTCCCAACAAACGAGTGGAGCCCACCTCCCCCTCTGAGTGACTCCCCGTGGCCTCGCCTTGTGCTTCTGGGCTGGACGGGAGCTGCTGGATGGCTAATTCGGGTCTGAGGACGTAAAACGGAAAGGCCTTGGGGCCCTGGGTGGTAACTCACCTTTGATGCATTTTAGAAAACTACAGACATTTGGGATGCTCAGGGATTATGGTCCAGCTCCACAGCCTCTGTGCTTTCACTTCCCTGGACATCCAAAGTGAGGCACTGCTTACTCAATCACCCAAGTCCAAATGCGTCTCCACCTCCCACCCACCCCCACCCTGCCAGCAAAACCACTCTAATACTGCACTGACTTCAGACACTTTCCGAATCTGATTTTGCTAACAGCCTGGGCATGATCCCTCATCTACACCACACTCTGCGGGTGCAGAGCAAAAATGCCATCAGGGAGATGTCTTCTCCAAAGGCACCAAATCACGCTGTGCCCTGGTTCAGTACCGTCCAGCGCATGTGTCTAAAGGATGTTGGAATGGGACCGTGTCTAGGTCAACATCATCAAGTGAGGAGAAGTGAGAGCGCTACCCAGCTCCCTCGGAGGGAGCCGTTCCTGGAAAGATGGGCCATCTGCTTTGCAACAGCAGGGCACAGAGGCTGCCTTAAAAGGC